CCTGATATGCTTGTTTAGAAACAAAAGCTATAATAATACCTAGATCCAGAAAAATCAGAGACCCATGGTTTACAGACAGGGCAGTATTCATCACCACATGACTTGATTTTTCTTTGTTTGCTTGTTTTTGGGTTTTGTGTGTGTCACTAAGTCATTTGTCTTAAACCATCTGTGATTTTTGTGTCACAATGATTCCTTAGTGGTCAATCAACAGGGATTTCATCCCTTGTCACCTCTACTGCTATTTATACACATCAAGTACTGATGGGTACTAGATTCTAAAAACAATTTTGTCTGCTCTCTATCTAGACTTAATTAAAATAATAGTCTTTTGGTGTAGATGTCTTCAAACAAACAGAATGTGTCCATACCCTTGCAATCACTATGTTCCCTAAAGTTTCATGCTATGCCACCATCAAATCTCTTCCCTGCATTTAAGAGAACTCAGCTAGGTTACAGGGCAAAAACAAGTTGAGCAGTGAAGAACATAGTATGAAAGTGGATGTTTTCCACAAGGAAATGCAGCTACAGTGGGGTTCAGATTATTTTCTTATATAGAAATATAAGCACTTATAGGGGATTATGGTTAAGAGAGTTTGGCAGAAAAGACTGTTGATGAGGACACGGGACACTTGTAGAGTAATCCAGATCGAGGTTTGTAAAGAAGACACCTATAAATTAACATATATTATTGTGTCCAGAAGAATTATTTGATGGTACATCTAAGGAGTTACACATATTTGAATTGTTTACAAGTGAGCTTAGGGAATATTGACAACAGGATCAGAGTTTTCATGGAACAGTTCATAAAAACAGCAATGTGATAAATGAAAATAGAAGCTATGAGTTTCCGTGGTAGAAAATTGAGTGCAGCTAGTAGTAGTGGCACATGTCTTTAGTCCTAGGACTCAGGAGGCAGAGGCATGTTTATCTCTGAGTTGCAGAGCAACCTATGCAGTGAGTTCCAGGAAGGACAATGATCCCTGTCTTGAAAAACAAAAAGAAAAAATAAGATATGATGTGATTTTTAAAGAAACTGGTCACTTTATGCTAAGCTCATGCCTTTTGTAGTAGAGATATCAATATGTTTTTTCACATAGATAGTGGTATAGTCTGATAACTTCTCTGGGTACAGAAGGATTCTTCATACACCATCATCATCAGTAATCTGTAATTTGAACCTTACAAAAATGAATAATTAATTTACAACAGAACTATTTTTGAAAATAGTATGAAAATATAGGATTATTCTAAACTCACTATCCAAATTCAGCTAAAAAATAGTCACTGAAATGCTAATAATAAAAGTCTGAAAATAATACTTCAAAATTATATAGGAAAAACAACCTTTCAAGCTCCTCTGAGTTCCCAAAGTCAGCCCAACAGATAAGGCTAAACAGAGGTCAGGGTAGTGAATAAAGGCTAAGATCTTGACTCCCCTGGAACTCACCCATTACTGATCATAGGTTTCTCTGATATGAAGCTGCAACAAAAGAGCCCAAGTTCACAGAAGATTCCAATTAGGTGAATAAAAATTAGATCCAGTCTTTTAATGCTCCTGGTATTCTCTGCATCAGAACCTCAGTCCCCTGGGAAATGACATTATTTGTGAAATGTCACTGAGGACTATGATGGTGGGTCAGCTATGCTGCAGCGTTAATCTGTTGCAATACCTCATCAGCTGGGGAGAAAATTGTAATTCCTTTGTAATCAAAACCATGTTTTTCACTTTGAACTGAATCATACTGAACAGTTCTGTTTAATTCACTTTCCTTAGAATGACAGTAACTGGATAGTCACCACTTTATCACATGATATAAAGAATGGTACATAACTCAGTTACAGTTATACAATTTAGCCCCAAGTTACAATGAACTTGAAATAAATGTGAGCTAGCATAAGCAACTTAATATGTGAAGAATAAAGGACACTATTTATAGCTGGGTGGTAGTGGCACAGGCCTTTAATCTCAGCACTCGGGAGACAGAAGCAGGGGGATCTCTGTGAGTTCGAGACCAAGCCTGATCTACTGAGCGAGTTCAAGGACAGGCTGCAAAACAATAGAGTGAAACCCTGTCTCGAAAAAGACAAAAAAAGACACTATTTACATATCCACATTTATAGTAACTAAATTTACACTATAAATCATGAGTTTTCAGTATAGGAATTAGGTAAAAGGTTGAGTGAAAATGTTTAAAATAGAGAATATAGCATTCACTACATAGGTTCACAAATGTGAATGACTGGATTAAGCTTCTAGAACTGTTTAGGAAAGGTTAGTTGTTGGAGGCAGTATATCAATGAGTTTTGTCTTTCAGGTTTCTAAATCTCAATCCATTATCAGATAGCTTTTTGCTTCTCTCTGACTAGTACTTGCAGAAAAAGATTTAAGTTCTCAGCTGCTGCTCTGGCACCATGAATGTCAGCCTGTTGTCAGGCTTCCCACAACTGTATTGCCCCCCAAATAACACTTTGAAAAATTACCTTGGTAATAGTGTGTTCTCATAGCAATAGAGAATTATGCCAGTAAATAAATCATAATTAAGCTATAACCAGTATCATCAAAGAGGTCAGGCATAGAGAAAGTGACTGGGGGAATACTTGGAATGGGGGAACAAAACAGATTTTATGGGTGCACGGGACCTGCGGAGTCAAGAATGGGAGGATTGGATGGGAAGGGGTTGAGATATACTATGGCGAGAAGGAATGACAGGACAGACAGCTAGAATTGGAGAACATTTGTGGGACTGTGTGGAGTTCTTGTGCTGTGGAAATTTCCTGTAATATACAATGGTGACACAAATGAATTCTCAAGGAGGAAGACAAAACTCCTACTGGCTAGTACTTGTCACCAAATGAAGCTCAGGGCTGGGATGAGTGTCATCCAATTTTATTGTTGGACAAATGGCTTAGATTAAAATACACAAACCATCCAGGCTGCTGAGAAGACAATATGTTGCTCTCTAAAAACTAACAGGAAGACACCATTGATGAAGATAACACCCAGTCATGTCATTTAACATGGAGAGATCGAGCTGATGTCCACATAGAAACTTTACCCCTGTGCTCTAATATCTACAACATGGAAAAATTCTCTGTAGGCAATCAAGAGAACACCAACCCAATCATAAAACATTTGATCTGTAATGTGTCCTGCCTACACAATATTCTATGGCAGTGGGGACACAAACCTTGTGAAAGTAACCAACTGATATGTGATTTGACTTAGGGCCCAATCCATGACATGGAGCCATATCTGACACTCCTTTGGTAATCACAAATTACAGTCTAGACAACACAGAGGCCTAAGGTAAAATCCTAACACTACTGATTATTAGTCATATATATGCCTAATAATGATAGCTTGTTCTACTAATAGATTGATGCCCTATTCAGTGATCATCAGAGTAGCTTCCCCCTGCAGGAGATATAAACAAATAGTATGACTAATAGCTAGACATTATTCAGAGAGGTATAAACACTTTGAAACACACAATTATACATGATATGTCTCCATCAAATATCTCACTCCCAGAGCCCAGGGAACACAGTGGAATAGTAGGCAGAATGGGGGCAGAGGCAGAAGTGACAGGGGATACCAGGAGAACAAGACCCTATATAACAAGTAAAAAAAGTTGATATGAAGTGAGAGACAATAAAGGAGCATGCATAGGACCTCTATGTGTCTGAAACAGGTCCTCTGTATATGTACTGTAGTTTTCAGTTTAATTCTTTTATGTGTATCCTGAATGTGTAAACATGTGGAGACTCTGATTCTTTTTCCTTTTCTTGAAGCTCTTTTGTTTCTTTTTTTTTTTTTTTGCTTTTTTTGGATAGTCTTGTTCACTTCAATATATCAGTTTTCATTTTATTTATTTTATCATATTTTATTTCTTGGTCATATGTTCTTTTCCTAGGAGAGATTGAAAATAAGTAGTATGGTAGAGGAGGTGGAATAAATGAGAGAGAAACAGAAGGAAGGGAAATTATTCAAATAAAATTAAATATACAAAAAAGATAGTAAATTGAACAAGCCACAATGAATAAGACTGGAAGCGTCATCCTTCCTTGGTTACTACATCAATTCCTGCCTCCAAGTTCCAGCCCAGCAAGCATTTCTGATCTGACTTCCTTAAGGGATAGGCTATGATATGAAAGTACAAGCCAAGAAACGATTCCCCTGTCAAGGAAAGAATGAGAGAAAGAGAGAGGAAAATGAAAAGTAAGTTAAGACACATTCCCTTTTAGCAAAGAGGAAAATGAACAGTTCATAGAGGAAATTTCGTCCTCTCTGTGTGTATGACACAAGAAACAACACTATTTGAAGACCAAGTGTACAAGGACAGTTAATTAGGTTGTGAGAAAAAATCTTCCTGGTATCAGTTTATTTGTATAGTAGTCCTTCAAACTTTTCAAACTTTTAATGCGTAAATATTTTTTATTTTATGTGAACTGATGTTTTGACTGCATATTGTTGGTATACCATATGAGTATAATGCCTGATGGGCCAGAAGAAGGGAGGATCTATGATACCCTGGGATTGGAGTTATAAAACATTGCTAGCAGTCATGTGTGCTAAGAATAAAACCTCGGTCTTATATAAGAGCTGCTAGTGTTCTATATATCTGAGATATCTCACAAAAGTGCTCGCTCAGAATTTATTGCTGTATGTAGATAAAAAGTTACTTTCCAAGTTATCTATTTGGTGTGTGTATGGGGGCCAATATTGACAAACCTATTGTATGAATGTTGCCAAACCCCGGTTACTCTAGAAGAGTTATTTTCTATATAAGTCATGAGACACATTCTTTTGTTTTTTAATGCTAGACATGGGGGTAGAGGACACATCTAGTAAAAAAAAAAAACACTTTCTTTGATCCCCATATAAAACTTTCACTGTGAATTTTAACTCCAGGCAAACAGAAACACTGTCAGCAGCTGGAGACAGCAGAAGAACAACCATGGCAGTCTGTGCTCTCACTTCTGCTTCCCTGGGTGGTTTATGTCATGGCTTGAATCACTGTGGGAGGATAGGTATCATGCTGTTGACAGTAATAATTTGCCATATCTTCAGGCTGCAGGTTGGTGATCTTGAGAGAATACTGTGTACCAGATCCACTCCCACTGAACCTCGATGGGGTCCCATCAGCCAAGCTGGTTGCAGAATAGATCAAAAGCTTAGGTGATTCTCCTGGTTTCTGCTGATGCCATGCTAAATTACTGTAAATGTCCTGACTTGACTGGCATGTGATGGTGACAGTTTCTCCCACAGATGCAGACAGCAACCCTGGAGACTGGGTCATCTGGATATCACATCTGGCACCTAGGATTGGAAAATTAAGAACAAATTTCTGTACAATTAATTCTCTTAAATGAGGACTTTCCCAGAGATCAGGCAGCTATGGCCACACTCAGGTGCACAAGTTTCTAATTCTGTCTTCCTTACCTATTAACCAGAGCAGCAGGAACCCCAGGTGCTGAGTGGGGGTCTTCATGTCTGTGCTGGGACCTGTGTGATACTGACTCCAGCTCAGCATACAGCCTGACTATGAAGAAGTCCTCAGGGCAGTGGGCTGGGCTCTGCGCAAATGCAAATCAGCAATGACTCATTGGTTTATTGTTGATTTAAGAAGTCACTGCTTCAGTATGTCCTGAGTTTCATGTATGTCAAAGCCAACAAGGGTTTGTTTGTAGAAACTGCTCCTCTATGGAAAACAATGGACAGAATCAGTCTGTGTTTTACACCTTCTTTTGATTTCTGTAATACTCAGTGTAGACTTTTCCTTGTTATTTTCCCTCCTTGACAGGGAATGTCAGATATGGTGCATTTCAGAAAGTACATGAATGTTTGCAGGTCCTTTCAAATGTAGCTGTAGATGTTATTGATGCTATGCAGCCTATTCTATTCTATTATCTGATTATTTGTGAGAATGAATTTAAATTAAAATGTTCACACTTCCTTTTCCAATCTCCAAATCATCTCATATATCCCACATACTGTCTTTCAAATTATTGGACACTTGTTTTACTGTTTTTGTTCATATATGTATTTTAAATATAAATTGTTGAGAAAATATACTGTTACTTGTATATATGTTTTCAGTGGTGACAATTTGGCCTGAGACAAACAATTCTGTGCCCTTCCCTGGGAAGAACACCTCTCCTACACCCAGTTTTATTCAATTGTCTGGAGTTACACAGAATTGAAGGCTCATGGACTTTATTGTATCCAGTTTGTCATGCTTGTTGGCATTCTACTTCTTTAACTCTGTAATGTTAGTGAGACTTTACAGGTATAACTTCTGATATCAGGAAAAGACACAATCTTACAGTAAATTCCTTAATTCTATGGAGCTTACTTTCTGTCCACTCACTTTTTCCAAAATATTCCCTGAGCCTTGGGGATATGGCGGTGTTTAGAAGATGCATCCATGAGATTGAGCACTGCCCCTCACAGTAGATCTCAGCAGGAATCATTCATGCTAATAATGATTACCAGACTAGTAACAGAATAACAGTGGTGCATTTACGTGCACCACACATGTAAAGGAATGCAGATAGATGAAAAGAAGGCATCAGATGCTATGAGGCTAGAGTTGCGGGCCACCATATGGGTGCTTGGAAAGGAAACTATATCCCTCGAATAACCACCAAGTACTCTTAACCACCGCGGCACCACTCCAGCTATACATTTGCAATTATACTGAAAAATATATTACTGACATGGCATTATCAATATAAAAATATTTGGCATTTAGCAATGTTGGGTATCACAGAGGTCTGTAATTAGTGGCATAAACAGACCATTGAAAAACACTACTTTCAGTAGCTTGATTTTTAAATTCATAGTACAAATTTGTCTTGGAAAACTGAAACATATCTCAATGTGCCCAAATCAGATATTTAGTATTACTTTCCTTCCTTGACATAATTTGCTGTCTTACTTTTTAAAATAATTTTATTTATTGACTTTTTTCTTTGGTTCACATTTGTGCTTTCATAAACTTTATTCTGTGGACAGAAATCTAATAAGAAAACTATTATAACTAGGACCATGGAGACTACACATCAAATCATATATCATATATCAATGCTTCATCACTACAATATCTGAAAGCGTATTTCACAAAACATGTTTTCTTCCTATGAAGTCCAGTACAATTTTATAATGGGAGCCAGTATAGGTTTGCATAGATGTCTGGCACAGAGAAAATGCTAGGAGATCCATAGGGATAAGCCCAACTAAGAATCTTGACAGTGTTGGAGAGACTACCTTTGTTGCACTTCCCCTATAATGAGATTGGTGAAACTTGGTTACCATTCATGGAGCCTTGTCCCAGTAGCTGATCAAAGCAGAAACACACACCCACAGCTGAGCACTGAGCCATACTCCTAGAATCCAGTTGCAGATACAGATGACAGATGACCAAATGAACCAAGAGGGAACTGGAGATACCCACAGAAACAGTTACGTGACCTAATGAAAACACACAAACCCACAGGAAACCAGTATTGGTCCAAACTAATTTGTACTTTTACAGTGGCTTTCAGCACCTAGACTGATGTCCTCCTCAAGGTAAATGCATTACTATTGCCATCTGCTGGATAGATGGGTGATAGACCAAGCAGAGCCTAGAGGAAAAACTGAGGATGATAATCAGTGGAAATCCAAGTTTGCTAGGGAAAAGAAAAACAAAACAACAACAGCATCAAAAGGCAAAGACTGGAGTGCTCCTCACTCTGCTTTATCAGAGAACAAAGAGGAATTGTGCAAATACTGTCAGTACATATATTTCAACACATAAACATGTACCCCAAATCTTACAATCAAAAAACAAGGAAATATTGACAAGAAGGCATTAAACATAGATGAAAAATATTGGAAAATATGTTATTTCCTATGAATACATTCTATATATACTAACAGATATTATGAGTTGGAGTGGGGATACACAAATAATGTATATCAGAATTATGGACCAAAAGTCCATTTGACACACTTATGCTGCCAATCAACCTAGGCTGGTGTATTCTCAGGAACTTATATTGATATAGAGTGGGAAAGAACACCCACTATAAAATCATTTAGTAACACTCTGTTGACTATCCCATGCAGGTGACTATATGTAGTACACAGTAATGTACACCTGATTTAAGCGATTGTTTGCTGGCACTGCTAAGCAACAAAGATGAGAATTTACAATTTGAAGTAAGGTTTCTACTGAGTATGCAGGCTTTGAGGAAATTATAATTAAAATTTCAGTTAGGGTAACCTCTCCACTATTGCTTAGATTGTTAGTTGGGTTCATTCTTGTGGACTCCTGGGAGTTTCCTTACTGCCAGGTTTCTCTTTAAGGCCATAATAGCTCTCTCTATCAAGGTATCTTCTCCCTTGCCTTCTTTCTCTTTCCTTTAACCAACTGTACCTTCCTGATCCCTCATGTTCCTTCCCCCCTCCCATTCTCCGCTACATTTTTTCCACCTTCCCAATATTACCAATTTACTAGGAGATCTTGTTCATTTCCCCTGTTGCCTTTCCACTATAATGATATTGAGTTACCTTAAATGCCATCAAAGAGCCTTCATCCAGTAGCTGATGGAAGTTGAATCAGAGATTCACAGCTAAGCACTAAGCTGAAATCCTGGAATCCAGTTGTAGCAAGGGAGGATTGATGAGCAAAGTGTTCAAGATCTTTCTGGGGAAATTCACAAAAACAGCTTACCTGAGTAAGTGGAAGTTCACAAACTCCAGACTGAAAACTGGGTAATCTACATAATCTTGAACAAGGCCCTCAAAGGTGGTGTCAGCTGGGGGACTTGGGCAGTCTATGCAGTCACTGGCAGTGGTAAACATATTTATTCCAAGGACATGAACTGATTTTCAGAGCATATTCCTTATGGAGTGATATTGTCTCAGCCTAGATACAGGGAAGAGGGTCTAGGTCCTTCCCAAATGACATGACAGACTTTGATGATCCTTCAAGGGAGGTCACACACACTCTGAGGAGTGTATGGGGATGTGATGGGGAAATATTAGGGAGATGGGAGGATGGAAGGGAGAGAAAACTGAAATTGGTATGTAAAATAAAATTGTTTCTAGATAAATAAATAAATGTTCAGTTGAAACATCATAAGGAGTAGGACTAGTTATGAATAAATAAGGGACTCCTAAATATCAATATAAATGAATAACAATGTTGTTAATTCTATAACTTTACAAGAAATGTGAGCTTTAGTTTCAAATAAAAATTTTAGACAGGACAATTAGTAAATCCAGCATAGCTAAAACAACTCTGTACAATCAAGAAATTCAGGAGGCATCACCATCCTTGACTTCAAGCTGTGTTATAGAGCTATAGTCCTGAAAACAGCTTGATATTGTCAAAAATATAGACAGGTAGATGGATGGAATCAAACTGAAAACCCTGATATTAACCCACACACCAAAGAATGACTGATTTTTGAAAAAGAAGCTAAATTACACAATGGAGAAAAGAAAACATCTTTAACAAACGCTGCTTGCATAACTGGTTACTGGTGCATACATGACTGCAGATAGGTCTCTATATATTGCCATGAAAAGAACTTAAGTCCAAGTGGATCAAAGATTTCAACATAAATCCAGACATACTGAACCTGTTAGAAGAGAAAGTGGGAAGTAACTATGTACGAATTGGTACACGAGACAGCTTTCTCAACATCACACCAGTAGCCCAATCATGCATATCAACAATTGATGAATGAAACCTCCTAAAACTGAGAAGTTTCTGTAAGGCAAAGGAAAAAGTCAACAAGACAAAACGGCAGCCTCCTGAGTGCTGGGATTAAAGGCGTGCGCCATCACCGCCCGGCAGTCATTTTATTCTTACTGTTATTTTGTCTATGCCCATTTTTATGTTTTTATGACTTTGTGTATGTGTGTGTGTGTGAGTGTGTGTATGTGGTGTTATTTTCTTTTGTGTATTTCTTACTCTCTTGTCTGCTTTTTTTCAAAAGAAAAAAAAATAAAGGTTGTGGTGTTGGACTGTAAGGCATATGAAAAGAGTTTTGCAAATATTGCATGATAAGAAACTATGATCAGAATATATTTTCTGAAAATCAATTTTTAGTTAAAAAGGTAAGAATAATCAATAATTTTTTCCTAAGACATCAAGATAGATTTCTTAAGTTTGTGTCAGTACATGTGTTGAAGGCAAACATTCAATCTAGTACAAAGCTTCTTAAGGAAGATCCAGCGCCTTTACTTCAAGGAAGTTCACAATCTCCTTTCATTAATGCATGCAAACATTATCAATCAACAAACACCTTACCCTCTGATTTTCTGGTGTGAAATAGAATAACCTAAGCACAGTGGAACATAAATTCATTATTTATAATGAAAGTATGATCTGGATCACTGGCATGTGATCTTCAGCTAAGCAGTATGTCTACACTTCTTCATTCATGATAGCTCTGTTTTATTACTTCTATCATGAACAGACAATGTTCATGATGATCTCCATTCACATGTAAAGAAAATGAACTTCCATCCTTGCCTTGATTCTGAATGCAAATATTTCTCTGCCTAACGTTGC